TAGAATATAGGTGAGAGATCCCCGATGAACTAAAATCTGTTTGACATATGTTTTAGAGGAATCTCAGGGTTCAGTGTTAAGGAAGAGAATGAACTAAACAAAACAAGTTAAATGTAGCACTGTTTTTTTGGCTGCAAATTACAAATCTATTGTTTCCAAAGTTAAAAAAATCTTGTTAGAGATATTTGTGTCTGAAGAGTTTACTTATCAGAATGGCAATTCTTGCTTCAGATACTATAATATATGGAAAAATGACTGCTAAACATTATTTAATGATAAGTGCACAATCTATTATACGTGACAGTAGCTTTTTTAAATTTCAAAGCATTAAGGGGGTACAAATGTTTTGATTACGTAAATTGCTTTTGTGCCATCTGAGTCAAAGTTATAAGTGTGCCCATCACCAAGATAAGAGTGCATTGTACTCGTTAGGTGTGAATTTACCCGTCCCCCCTCCCCCCTCCCACCTACTTGTTTTCTGCAGAGTTTCACTACCATATGTGCACATGAGTGTTGACTGATTAGTTCCAGTTGAATAATCAGTACATGTGGTGTTTGTTTTTCCATTCTTGTGATATTTTGCTTAGCTCAATGTTTTTAATTTTTCCATGAATTTTTTATCCTTTGGAAAATCTTAAATCTATATACTATTGCATTGGAAAAGTACTTGGGATCTATACAATCTTCAGCTAAATTTTGCAGGAAAAATGGGGAGGAGAGTCTATGAAACAAGAATAGTAGAATGTTAATAATTGCTCAAACAGGGTGGTGGGGTACATAGAGGTTCATTATACTAGTTTTTCTCTCCTTCGTATGTCTGAAATACTACTTAATAAAAACATTTTAAAATTACAGGTATTGAGCATTTTACTATTCCTATCAGTTATTGATATAACTAAATATATAGATAATTTAATTATAATTACTAATTAAAATCTTACATTTCAAACAAGGAGGTTTTGGGGAATTGTAATTTCTCCAAAGATTCAGGTGTTTTCACAGCTTCAGGAGTTCTTAAAAATAAAGCAGTTTCAGGAGTTGGTGAAAGATTCCCAGCCTTTTCTTCTACTTCATCACTATTATTTTCTATTGGCTTCCCAAAATGTTTTGTATATATAGCCTGTAAAATCAAAATAAAACTATAAAAATGAATGCTACTGCATTAATAAAATGACACATAAAAATGCATGAGGTGGAAAACACCATATTAATCTATGATGTTATCAGTTCACAAACAAAATAAATAAAATAACTGGTGAAAGTGATACTAAAATATATATATCAAAAAAATAAAAAAAAATTTTAATGATTTAATTTTTCTTTTCTTCCCAGCTCTATCTTCCTCACCCCTACCTGAAAAAATAAATGACAACGAGAACATATTGGAATTTATGAAAAAATGATTAAGAGTGGTTTTTCTTTTAAAATTTCCACATTACGCTCTGGGTGAAGAATTGTATATGCTACCTCCTTGAAAGTGAAGAATAATTTGCTTTCAGCAATCCTGCTCTCATTGGTTAATTATGTTTTCACCCTTATAAATTTGTTATACTACTTTCCCTACAAAGACTGAAAACTTGAATACTAATTTTCCTTTATATCATTTTATAGGCTGGAGATATGATTTCTCAAATATGCTTGTTATATCAAATCTCATCACAGAAACAATTTGGGTCCCTCCTCCAAAAAAATTAAAATGTGCTTCTTACCTGTATTTCTTTACAGCAGTATGCTACTATGTTGTTTCCCTTGTTTTAACCCTTAGAAGCTAGGATAAACCTGATATACACTGTCTACATCCAAAAATCATTAAGGCTTTCCACTATTAAAAAATACTCTCAAGATATTTTTATGGCAACCACTGGTCTTGAACTGCCATGGAAAAATCATTCAATCTGACCAACAAAATTGCTTTCTTCAACTGTGTTTAGTTGTACTCTCAATATATAGTCACTTACTAATGACAATTTGTGGTATATTTTCATGTAAATTTTTTGTGGCTTCATTTTTTAATCCGAAAAATATAATCAGTAACTTCCTAGAAGTCTGATCAAGTTAACAACATCTCACATAAATAATCTTCATTGTACTAAATGTGAAATTAAAATGGACACAGAATATTTTAAAGTAGAATGTTTTGCTTAGAAATTAGAAATCAAACATTTGACTTACTTGCGAAGTACATTTTGGTTCTCGTAATTGTCTTACTGTCCCTTTATCTCCATACTCAGCATCTGTTTGTTATATGAGAATCAACTATTTTTCTCTTCTTGCAGTTTTATTGTAAAATAAAACATATTAGACTAACCATTTGAAATCATCAATCTTTAAATTTTTTTAACCTACAAAAATGCTAACTTCATATGGTTCAACCCAATACATACACACAAGAGAATAAAACGTAATATGAACAGTTTAACAAAATTATAAAGAGAATACCCATGTAACCACCACCCAGGTAAAGAGATAGAACATCATGAGCACTCCAAAAGGTTCCATATTCTCCATGTCTTCCTCCTCAGAGGTCATCACTATCCTGATTTTCATGATAATCATTTCCTTAATTTGTTTTATATAGTTTTATCACCTAAATAATATAGTTTATTTTTCCTGTTTTAAAATGTTATATAATGAAATAATACATGTGTTCTTATGGCTTCCTCTTTTGTTTTGCATATGATCGTGAGATTCATCCACATTGCTGCACGAAGACATACTGTATAAACATGATGCATCTATCCACCTCACTGCAAATGGGCATTTGGGGTGTTTCTGCTTTCAGGCTATTACAGCCAATGATGTTGTGAATGTTCTCTTATACATGCCTTTGAATGTATACACTTGTATCTCTCTAGGTATATACCTAGGAGTGGAATTATGAGGGAACGGGTGCATGATTTTTCCATTTTACCAATGCCAAATTTTTCTAAAGTGGTTGTACAAATTTTAGTTGTGACAACTAGTCATCCTGAACTACCCCCATTCAATCTCACCAGACAAAATTATTGGCTCCAATTATAATTTAGGTTTGTTCTCAACATATAGACATCTAATGACTATTCCCACCAATAATTTATGAGAGTTCCTATTGTCCTAAATTCTCATCAATACTTAGTACTGTCAGACTTTCTGAATTTTGTAAACCTGGTGGATGTGTAATGATACCTCATTATGGCTTTATTTTGCAGTTCCCTGATTTGCTGAGCATCTTTTCATATGTTTATCTGCCACAAAAGTTTCTCTTTTTTGAAGTGCCTATTCACAGATTTTGCACATATTTCTAATTGGATCGTTTGTCTTTTTCTTCTTGATTTATAGAAGTTCTTTATATATTTGGAAACTAATCTTTGGACAATTTTATGTACTACAAATATATTGATATTCTTTGGCTTGTTAACTTGCCCTCTACTATTTTTATAGTATCTTTTGATGAACAGAAATTCTTAATTTGAATATAGCAAAATTTATCAATCTTTCTTCTATGATTGGGTTTTTAAATTCCTGTTTGAAAAATCCTTTCCTATCTTGAAGTCATGAATATCTTTTTCTATTTGATTTTCTGAAAGCTTTATACTTTTTGTCTCTTCCATTGAAGTCATAAATATTATTTTTCACCACATACTAATTTCTTCAAAAGATGGGTTTAGAGATTATTGGAAAAAGTCTTCTTTTCCTTCCAAAATAATTATATGCCTTCTTGGGTATAAAGCCTCACCATATATACTTAACACCAGGAAAGACTATGCCAGATATATGCATTTCCCACATTTCTATACTAGGGGTGCACTGCACCTAGAGATTAGCAATTCCTCCTCTGTCAGCTTGGCATATATAAAGGATTATAAACAGGTGGAACAGATCAACTGTACAGGTAAGATATAATATTTCCCCCAAAAGAAAGCAGGGAAAATATTCATCTATGTGCAATAAGCATATTGTGTTAGGTGAATTCCATACTAAGAGTGAAAAAAATATACCCACAGTATAATATTTGGCCTAAATATACATCTATTTATACATCTATTTACAGAACTTTCATGCTGTCAGAATAAGCCATTTTCAAAATTTGAAAAGTCAGTAATCAGACAAGAAGAGGTGAAGACTTTTACATATCCTAATAAATGGAATAATTGCACATTACTAGTTTACCAAAATATATATGTGGGGGTATAATAGTATATTATATATACATGCATGTACATGTGTATATGTTTATGTACACATGTACATACATGTATACGTGTGTATGTAGACACATAAAGAGAGAGCGAGCGACAATGAGTTAGTATTTTCAAGGGTGTGTCAAAGTTCCAACAGCTAGCTGATTTGGGGATAATAAACTCATACACACGTCCCGCAGTTTTCTATGATTTCATTTTTTAAAATAGGCCAAAATATTATAGTAAAAGATTAATGTAAAAGAATATAGTAGCATT